CTGCACATTTCAATGTTTTCACAGGCAGACTGTTGCATAAACTCAGTAACTCTCTTGGCCACATGCTTCTGCCAGCCACTCCTTGGAAACCATGTAAATGTCTCTAATAAATGGCTTGCTTAAATGTACATAGCTGTAGGACTGACAAGTCATTCCAAAGTCCCAGGCTAATAGCTTAGGGCATCACAGGTTCTTTCCCTTTGCTCTGGACAACAAGGGAGGAGGACAGGATGCTTGCTCTTTCTATACCATTCAGTCTTTGAGAAAAGCAGACATACCTACACACTGGTAGTGTGAGCAGCAGTGCAATACACTGAAACCAGGAAGAAACTGGAAATGGTTTGGGAATCACTACTGCATTGGCTTTCTGACATGTCAGACATTAACAAAGACATTCTTGGATCCTGTATTCTGTTTGGCAATCAGCAAAGTCACCATTCATGGTCTTCCAAGAGTTACATCCTCCCAGTCGTCCCTGACATACCTGGAAACCCTTTTCCCACTACCTTATTCCATGCCTGGAATTCCCATTCCACTATATTCAGACACAACATTCTTCCTTAAGACATTTTTGGGAACTTATTTGTGGTCAGACACCTTTTTTTTAATTTAAAAAAAAAAAACATTTTTGTGCTGGAACTACTCCAGCAGAGTCATTAGAGCATTTGATCCAATTTATATCACTTGCCTATAGACAGATTGATAGTCCTCTGCAGAGACAACTTCTAGCCTTGTAAAGTACTGCAGATACTCTCCATGAATAACAGAAACCACACAAGCTTCAGAAAAGATTAATGGTAATCCACTTCCTGTTTTTTCTCATGCGCTGCATATTTGAAGTGCAGAGCACAAGGTCTTTACCCTACTGTTGTTCAGGAGAAAGCTTGTCTTTCCTTGATGTTAGGCTGTGCCATGGGGACAGAGAGAAAGGAATAAAAAAACAACAGAAGTACATGGCAGTAGAAAAGTCCACTTTGCACACTCAGTTTACCACTTCTTCTTCTCCTTTATGCACCTTGGATCTTTCAAGTTAAGGAAGGGAGCAAAACTGCCTAAATTCCCACAAGAGAAAGAAAAGCTACGGACACTCTCCCATGCAGCTAATATAGTAAGCTAAGTGCCTGAGCATTACAATCTGAGGTTATACTAGGTGGGTGCCTTTCCTAGTGACTACAAACACTCTGCTGCTAACTCCAAGTTTCATGTCAGAATCAACAAATCCTTGAGAAACAACCCATTGACTTGCTAGTAAAATAATCCTCAGCACCCCATTTATTGCTGTCTTTCTGACTAATACTGTATCATGAATCATCACCTGTTGAAATTATCTATTTTGTATTTCATATAGGTACTTTTCACCATAACATCTGAAAGCACGTAGGTGATGACACTGAAGTCTCACCATTAGTGGTCTCCACAGCTCCCACAATTAAATGGTGCCTTCTCTTTCAGATTGACACACAAAACTCTATGGGGGTGATTGCTGGTTAAGTTCCCTGAAAAATAGTTTATTTTCACTACAATGCTGTGGCACAAACAGTGCCTATAGACAAGAGATATTATTACTGCCTTTTTCGTCATGTAACCACCATCTGCTAACGCCCAGGACATCTGATGAAGGCTGGCAGGAAGGGAATTATCCATTTAAAAAAAAAAAAAAAAAACAAACCAAACTGTACGTTTTGGAGTTTCTCTGCACTCTGTTTAGGACCAGAATTGAAGTTGCTTGAAATGAAAAAGACGGGAAGGAGTAGAGAAAGTGAAAAATCTGGGACAACAAGAATCTCATGATTAAGTTACTGTTTTAGTCTGTTTGGGCCTGGATCTTGGGTGTCATTCATTCCAGCCAAGCGTGTTTATCATCGAGTTTCACTCTCAGCCTTTGTCCTATTGAAACTCCTCTACCTTAGATAGTACCTACACTACTCATTTGGCAAGAAAGATAAGGCAGTCAGAAATGGCCTACGGCCCTTCTGGCACAGCTGCCTTCTCCTTTGCATCATGGAACAGCCACTCTGGGCCCAAGGAACATTTTTTCTAGCAGTAAACTGAATCATCTCCATGCAAAAAGAGCTGGAGCTCTTTTTAAGCAGCTCCACATTTGCTGTGGGTTCTGTCACTTTTCTTCCCAAGTCACAGTCAATCAATGCAGTTGCCAGCAAAACTGAAGTCTTCTCTGGAAGGACAACAGCAGCTCAACAGTTGAAGTTGTAGGTGGGGATCACTGTCATTTGCTTGCTCTGTGCCTGCTTATTACATATGGGCACATTTCGTTCTCTGTCAGGGCTACAAAACTCTCCACTGACGCCTCAGTTCCTGAAGACTTGGAGTGCTCCCTTTCCCATGATTGTCAGGGGAACATGTGGTTTATGCAAGCCGGAGCCCTGAAGCAGCTGCCCCACGTGGACTCTTCATCCAAAAAGCTACCCCATTAACTCAATAGCTGTGAAAAGGCTACAGACCTCATACAGTTTGCTCCAAGCATACTGAAGTGAAGCACCACACTTAGTGCCCTGATTTAACTAGACAACTGTTTAACACCTATACTGAGGGGAAAAAAGGGTATCCCTGGCTTCCCAGTGCTATTCTGACTACCTGCCAACAAATCCATCCAGCATATGTGATGGGACAGCTGGTGGCACACAATGCACCACTGGAAATGCTATCAGAGTAATGCACACATGGTCAGTTGGATAACACCACATTCTCACAGCAGCATGTACGTATGGAGATAGAGAGGCAACTCCCACTACACCTTCTGTGAACCATGAGCAGAGAGAACCTGAAATTATTATTATTTACACCACCTTGCTTCTTTTTGGAAAGTATTACCATTACTATTAAGTACACATATTGCAGTAATGCCCAATGGCGCTCTCTAAACGAAACTGGCACTTAATTCTGTCAGTGTTAAGTTAAAGACATTCTTTACAACTTTGACCTTACCTTCCAGTTTGCATTCATAGCTCTCATCTGCACCCTTTTTCCATAATGTATGCCACAAAGGAGCAAGTTCAGCACCCATAACTTTCCTATCTGTGCCTGTATTTCATGGTACATTTATGTTTTTTCTACCTCTAAGTCAGCCCAGATGTGCTGGCACTAATGCAAGAGAGTGAAGACTTCGACCTGTGTTACAGAAGCAGCCAAATACACCGCCCAAACATGCTAGGTCTAACTAATACAGTTTTCTAAGATTCCACAGCCTCTCCTACATGTTAAGCAGACAGGTGTATACATTAACAGCTACAACCCTTCTAGAAAAAAGGTTGTTCTTCACTGATCTCTAAAGTTAGTAACTCTAAGACCACTAGCTGCTGGCAACAGGATGACTAGGTTTATCCATAATCTCACCCTTCCTGGCTTTATTAAATATTAAGTAGGGTGGATTTTAGCTGTACCAAGGAAAGGACTTAAGCATTCTGACAGTTAAGTTTCTCTCTTTATTAAAGGACAACCATCTTTAGACAACTTATCTTTCTTCTTCTAAAATAAAATACTCTAATTCTCTGAGCTAGAGAGACAATATGCTTAACAGTAACTCTCCTAATTTCTCTTCTATTCAGTCCTTAGTTGAAACTATCAGTTGCTACTCGAGTAACATTTCATCTGTTGTTTGGCTTTAGAAAAATATCCCTTAATACATTATTTATTCAGGACCATATTGTGAACCTTCTTGTGTGTCTCCACAGGAAAATAAAGTTTAAGGAAAATACTTAGGAAACCTACAAAAGGAAAAAGTGTGAAATATATTTAGGAAATCTGCATGAATGATAGAACAGTATATTCCACAATTTGTTTTTTTTTTATACACACACAGAGCCACCCCCCACCCCCCTGGCTGGTCTGCAGTGTTCTTGTCATTTCTGCACTTGCAATTTCTTAAATCAATAATTTAAGAATTGTTAGGAATAACAAAACCCCTAAACTTGGAAAACAAGATTAACTAAGATTTGCTTCCTAACTTAAATAGGCTTCCTCTATTTCTGCTGACATTTCTACCTAATACTTCTTTCCCAGCTAACAAAAAGTGTAACTGGTGTTTTAAGCCAGCAATAACACAACTACTTGACCAATCGGGTGTCATAAAGCCAATACTTGTTCATGGCCTCAGCAACAGTTGCCAAGTCTCTTGATTTGGAGCATGTAAAATTTGCCTTAAATGCATGACCTTCCACATCAAAGGAACAACATCCAGCAGTGCTAGAGGGCTGAGTCTTAGAATTAATGAGTCTTTCAAATAACTAGCGTTGTTCTTTGTGTTTTGTTATGAATTCAATGTCTATCAGTCCTCCTTTAAGAAAAAACATGTAAATATTTTAAGTAGATTTCATTTTCCATGCTCTTTCAATACAGATTAATACTTAATATGTTAAATCCAGCTGGCATGGAAATGTAAATCAGATACTAAAAACAATGGAGTCTAATTAGAAAAATGAACTTTATGTAGACAACCAGTTTGAAGAGCAGCTGGGTGTTGGGAAAGATTCCTTAGAAATAAACCCTGGCCGGTGAAAAATAACTTTGTAAAGTGTAGGAGCCTTTAGCTTCTCAGAGTCAGTGTACCCAAGGAGATGGGCTAGTAAAGGGGACAAGCCTGGGATGAGAAAAAACAAAGAAGGGGTTTAACAACCCACCTGGCTTTTATCTTTACTCCTCCATCTCAGATCTCTGTCAAGTTGTATAGCTAAAGGTTGTGCTAAAGGCATCTTCCCAGCCTAACACCAAGTGATTTGTCTCAAAGGATCAGGCTGGCACCCTGACAGTATAGAATCATCACCACCACCTGATTTCTGAAAGCTTTTCACCGTTGAAAGTACACGAAAAGTACAATCTGACTCCTTCAGGAGACAGAAGATTGGTTTTCTCATTCAAGAAGTTATATTCTACCAATTTGTATAATTTTCTACCCGTCTACAAAAATACCCATGAAGAACAAAGGGGAAAACTGATGAGGACACAGCCTCAACAAGATTCAAGAGGAGAACACGCATCCTTACATGCTCTCACAGAACTTCGTAAGAGTGCTGGGCTTTTCCTGGTTGCGTCTTTGTCGAAACCAACGTTGAATGCTGCGCACATCCCAGTCCAGCTGCTTGGAGAGGCCCTCCAGCCTCTTCTCATCTGGATGCTACAGAACAAAGAAGGATAAAAATTATTTCTTTGCCCAGCTGCAGTAACTCCAGTTTAAATTTAGAACTACTGTAATCGCCTCTTGATGTCTTAGAGGCTGCCTGTCAGACACATGGATACATAGAAATAAAATTACTTTCACAGAAATCTCTGCTGGCAGATCCACATCAAAATACGTTTACAGTGACTGTTATTAATCTAGAAGGACATATGCTGTAATACTGCATGCAGGTTATTACTAATAAGAAATGCAAAGAGGACAATGGGATGAAAATTTGCTTGAAACTTGGAAAGTGATGATAAGTAGCGGATAAAATGGCATGCATTTCTCGAGCAGCGGGGCTTACAAACACCCCCCTGCCTGCCACATGCTGTGCCTGTTCCATCCTCCTGCATCAGGATCTTTGTCCTATCAACTGTTGTATTAGTGAAGATTGTTTGACTGACATGGAAAGAAGATATATCCCATGTTTGTGCATGCTAATGTTAAAAAATGAGGTCATTAAACAAAGTGACAACTTCAAAAGGAAAATTACCTTGACAACAAGGAGAGATAATTTTTTTCTGTAAAATTAGCTACACACAATTATTCTCCAAAGCAGCAAATGTGGAACTCTTATTCTATTAGAGTGGCTGCAAACCAGTGCAGAAGTAAGGCAAAAGAAAATGATTCTGTCCTTCATTTGACTATTATACAGATAGAAGAATGGCACAGGCCACATTTCCAATCATTCAGCAGAATTCTGCATGTATGGTACTACATGAGGACTATTTACATATTTCTCCTGATCACATCCATTTTTAAAGAAACAGAAAAAGCTTTTGGACAATCTATTTTCTGGAGTTTTAGCTTAATTTCTGCAAGCCAGTTACATACATTGAATGAGATAAGAGCTGCCATGATACAGACTTTTTTTAAATCTCGCAAAAGGTAAAACAGCAAAGCTTTCGTCAGGCTGAAGTTTCATCTTTCAGCCTCCAGGAAGAGACAGGAAGGAAATGGAAGGGGAAGGATGAAACAAGAGAAGGGTGAAGTATTTGCTATCAATCTCAAACAAAAAAAAAAAAAAAAATTTTTTTAGTCAACCAAAGTAGCCACTAGTTTTTCAATGGAAGGTTAAGAAAAGCCATTCTCTGTAACCTCAGAAAAATAAAATGATTGATGCAGCTCTTGGGAGCTTGACTAGAGAGAACTGCTGCACATGACTCAAAAAAGGTGGCTAGCTAAATCGGACAGTTTCTTTGAGAGCAGCTACCAGACAGCACTACCAAACTCTTGCAGGAAAGCAGATACTTTCCTTTGGAGCTCTTCCCACTCGTTGCTGTGCACTGGGTGCTGGTAGCCGTGTGTGCCAGCTCCTACCATGACTCATAAGCATTAATTAGATCACTTCACACCCTAGCCCTGTGTTGGACTAGCAGATTCTGCAAGGAAAGAAAAAAAATCCCATTCTTCTTCCAGCTGAGTCTGGGTGAGAGCACATGTGCTGCAGCTTTTAGAAACAAGGTATGTGCGATTCCTTCTCTGAAAAAAGGACAAAACGCACACCAAATGCCATTATGATCTCGGGACAGGGTAGGACACACAAGCAAGACATGGCATATTTCACTGCCCCTGACACTGAACCCAGTTTTGCCATTTGTGACTACTGCTCTCTGAAGTTCGGGCTGATGCCTTTGCTGTGGCATGCCCATCTGCAGCCTGGAGCCAAGGTGGGACTGGGAAGTTCCTGCAGCACAGTGGCTTTGTCCTTCAGGCCTCCACAGGCCTTTCCACTACAAAGCGGTTGACCGCTGAGGTCTTCAGGAGATGCTAAAGGAAACCTGATCACTGCTTACTGCTGTGGGAAAGCTCAAGATGCTTCAAAAGCATGGACAGGATGACACAGAGGTTTAGTTGAGATGTCATACAGTGAGAGCTGTAGAGACAGACACGCGAGCGAAAAACTTGTATTGTGCAAAAAAAAAAAAAAATCTGTAAGCTCTAAAACATTATTCAGTCAGTTTCCCCCACTTTTCTAGCTTCTTCCCTCACCCAATTTCAAAGGACATTAATCACAACATAAACAGCTGGGATACCAGCAAGCCAGGAGCTCCCTGTGCTCAGGCAGTTCCCCCTAGAAGGAGCAGCTTTGAAATATCATGGAAAACACAGCAAGGCCAATCTTACTGGCTCACAGTTTGCTCTTTCAAAAAAAAAAAAAAAAAAAAGATGATTTTGTGGAAATTTCTAAAAGATAAGAAGCAAAAAAAGAGTAGGTGGCCATATGGCACCTACAAAGTGTTTCTGTAACAACTTTTTTTGATCAAAAGCTTACAGGAGACGTCACGAAGGGATACACAACTGCTCAAGCTGGCATGCCAGTGACAACCTTGACATTTGCATGTTCTGATTTTAGCTGTAAAAATGCAACACTGCATTTAGCAGTTAGCTTTGTTTTCTTCAGACATATCTGATAGCACCATATCCCACTTTATAAGGCAAATATTTTAGTTTATGTCATGGTATAACCCAGCAGGCAGCTAAACACCACACAGCCATTTGCTAACTCACCCCAGTGGGATGGGGGAGAGAATCAGGAAAAAAGGTAAAACTCGTGGGTTGAGATGAAGACAGTTTAACAGGGCAGAAAAGGAAGGGAAAATAGTAATAATGATAAAAGAATATACAAAACAAATGATGCACAATGCAATTGCTCACCACCCACTGACTGATGCCCAGCCAGTCCCCAAGCAGTGACCGTGCCCCGCTGGCCAACACCCCCATTGTCTTTGTTCAGCATGACGTCATATGGCATGGAATATCCCTTTTGCCAGTTTGGGTCAGCTGTCCTGGCTGTGTGCCATCACAGCTTCTTGTGCACGTCCAGCCTTCTTGCTGGCAGGGCAGTATGAGAAGCTGAAAAGTCCTTGACTTAGTGTAAGCACTGCTCAGCAACAACTAACAGTGCGTTATCAACATTATTCTCATCCTAAATCCAAAACACAGCACTATGCCAGCCACTAGCAAGAAAACCAACTCTATCCCAGCCAAAACCAGGACAGTTAAATACTTTACCTTTGTAATAGCTGTGAAAACTTTTTCCAGGATAGCATTAGGTTGAGCTTTCTGTGGTCCATTGGCTTGGACTTTAAGGCCTAAGGCACATGGTTTAGCAATGAACCTGTGACAAACAGAAGAGTGAAAAAAGAAAACAAGTTAAATCCTTCAGTCATTTACTTCATTACGGTTATCAATCAATGACGTGGTAAATGCACAAATATTGTAAACTTGCCAACAAAAACAATACTTAGCCTTACAGCTCAAAAGCAAGCTCATACAGGCGATTACATTGCAAAATAAGTAACATCACTTTGAAGGATGAATGGAACTCTGTGGAGCACATGAAATGGAGGATTTTCTTTCATGTTGTGAAAAAAAAAAGGATAGAACAAAAGCATGAGAGGAATGCCTCCTAGAGAAGCACCAACTAATGAAAAGAGCAGGACAGCTTGCAGAGATGAGGAGCACATTATATTCTCCTCCAAACACAGCCTTTTTCTTAAAACAGTTTTCAGAGTAGCTACTGCCTCAGGACTCCTTTTGTGTAGTGGAAATGCAAACAAAGTCCTTAAAGGCAGCAAGCACTGAAGCTGCCCAGTCAATACAATTTTTTAAACCATAAGGTTTAAACGGTGTTGAGCCATGCCTCAAAGACTTTGCTCTTCCTCCAAACTCTTCCACTAAACTACGAAGCTGTCACAGATCCAAACACCAATCCATAAGTTCATCCAGTTTATAAACTGTGTGTCTCTGATATATGTAATTGATCTCTAAAATGTATTACACACACTCAAAGACGACCATTCCACTCATTAAAAACTAAATTATTTGTAACTATGAGTCCAACTCTGGAATCCCCATGGAAACATACAAAGTCTGTATAGGAATTGCATTCATATGTGAACAGTATGAACTTCTGACATCTTTGAACTATGAAACTCTTGGTTTCACTTAAAAGACTTCCATTTTCGAAGACTTCATTGGCCAGCAGGGACCAAATCAACACACTCAGAGGTTAAGAAGTAGTTCCACATTTATCCAGCTGAATGACCACAAGGCTCTTAAAAATCATTGGAATTGTTATCCGCATGCAAGCCCCATTTTAAGCACTGTTTTGAGCTACAACTGCTGTTTCTGCTATATTTAAGACAGCACAGATGATTAAAGAAAATTAAGTCCTAAGCAATGCTACAGTGGTTACAGCAATAGCATCTGGTAAAGAAAGATGGGTGATGACAGACCACCCTGTTTTCCTTGTTTTTCCAAGGAAAAATTCTTGATATATTGATACCATTCCCATATGAAAGCCAATCCGATAGCCTGAAATAATTTTTGTGACTATTTGCGAGGGGGGTGGGAAGTCATATATTCAAAGACACATGCAGTGTATCAGTGAACTCACCCTTTGATTCGTGTATGTTTTAAGAGAGAAAAAACAAAAAGCAACTTATTACACCCTGTAAAAGTTTGGTCACAATGTGGAACAGCTACAGATTGCAACCATGCTGCTAGCTCCCTAACATCAACCAAATCAATGGCACTGCATCAGGTGTAAATTCCCTGCTTTAGGGTTAAGCGGTTGCGATGATACCAGTTTCACTACTGAGCTCAAGCAGAAAGCAGTCCAGTTTTCTGCTCATGAAACAGCATATAAGCTCTGTACATACTATATGTAAATACACTGTAATCTAGCCACACTGGAAAATTGTATATTACTTAAAGTATAAGGTGACAAAAGAAGAAGCAGGAATTGTAGTCTCTAGTTCAACACGGATTTGCAAAGTCAGCCTCCTCTGAAGCAAGACTCCATTTGGGGTTTTTTTTTGTTTGTTTTTAAACACACATACATCTTTCAACTTCTGTTTTGCTTTTCTCCTTCTGCTGAGAGAAGGAATAAGATAGCCATGATATAACTTCAATAGAAAGTCAGTTCCCTAAACATGCTAATTTAAAAGACAAGAAAAATTAATTTGGTAAAGTCAAAAGCAGATTAAAAAGTCCCAGCTACAAAAATTCCACAAGGAGCAATTCCAACAAGCTTCATGCTGAACTGATCTTTATTTAAATCTAAGCAAGCTAGCTGGGTTTGCTTAAGTGCCATTCTTAAAATGACATGTCTTACTAATGAACAGTCTAGATAAATCCAGAACAAAGCACAGATACAGTGTTTGTCTACATTTTGAAAAGAGAAGAGAATTGTAATATTGATGTTATAGCCATTAGCTAAAACAAAACACATTTTCTGCTTCAATCTGGTATTTTCTGGACAGGAATATAAATTTTTCTTCCTTTGCTGCTTATATTTTTCACACGCACTGGAGGAATAGGCACGTGACCTGAACCAGAGCTCATCCACAAGGACAGCAAAGCGCAGTAAGGACGTGTACAGGGTACACAGCTGCAAGACACAGGATGCTCTTGGCCAGCTATGTCTGGGAGGAAGGGATAAGGAAAGTTTAAAAAAACCCACAAAGGTCTCTCTCCTGATATGCTCTTGTGGTCTTTCTCCACTTTTGAAAAAAAAGCTTTAAAAAAATCCCCTCAAGAGATTGTTAATTACCTAGTAGGACACTCAAGAGAAATAAAGCGATTCTAACAGGAACATTTTATATGCCTGCAATACTGAGCAGGTCTGACCACCAATTCAAGTGTGCATGAGCCGTGTGCATGAGCCACGTGCATGTGATTGCCTTTGGTGCAACTAGTAAAATTTAAGAGAAGTTTTTTACTTTTCATACAAAAACTTAATGAGTTCGAGCTATACTTTGCAGTATAAAAATTGTTTTTCAAGGTTAAAATAGAATTTTAAAGTAGAAATTAATCAATAGGATGCCAAATGTCACACCAGGGGCCATAAAAAGCATCATTAACATAATTCTCACCATTAGTTTTCTGTAATAATTTAAATAGATTCATAAGTAAACAAAACAGAATTAATGTTTGATACATGCACAAACTATGAGTGTTTTGCCAAATGCCGCACTTCTTAAAAGCAGTATTCATTTTTTCCATGTTTGCTAACGCTGTGGTATTCAGCTCCCCAGGCAGTCTTACTGAAACCCATGAGACTATTTATTGCATAAGGTACTGCAATTAAGGGGGAAGGATTGTTATGAAAGAGTAAGGAGAGCAGAATTGACTATATTGCTAGCTTTTCTCTTTAAAACATGTAAACCTGAACAAATGCCACACTAATATCTCTTTGTCAATGGATTCCTGTACAGCTGAATTGAAAGCTGGCATTCAATTACAGAGAAATTGAGACAAACATTTTTTGCCAAATGCAGCCCCATCTATTCTCGATCTAGAAATGAAAGACCAACATAAACAAGGGAATTAAACTCACAATTCAAGAACCTTTTTATAGGCAGCTTCCTCATTCACAGTGTAAAGCCACATTTAAAAACAAAACCAAACCAAAAGCCCACAGCCAGCCAGTTCAGATAACATGGGTTACTGCAGAGCATCCGAATGGAAAGCACTCAGCCTTTGCAGGCCCATAAACCCTGCACTGCCTGCCTGAAGACGGCAAGCATTTCTGAGTGTCCTGTACCCCTGAAGGAAGGTGCTGGTTTCCATTTTGGATCCTGTCCGTTTTTCTCAAATCAATTATTTACAACAGTGACAGCAAGGCCTCATACTCCACCCCAAACTCAGAGATTGTTTTTTCTCTACAAAGGAGTCAAGAAACAATTTGCAAAATGATCCCTCACCTCACCTAGAGCATAAAAAAAAGCACCATTTCACCAGAAGTATGTAAATTTGATCAAGAACAAGGACCAATTTGGGTTTCCCATTTGCCCTTTAACAAAAGCCAACTCAACAAAGTCAGCCACTATTACAACAGATGAATAAGTAGAAAAAGGAGAAGTAAAAAAAAAAAAACAAAAAACAAACCCCGAACTAAAAATTAACTTTGTCCTGGTGGAGGAAGGTAAATGCCAGTTTGGCACCATTTGCTCTTTGCAGTGATCGCAGCCAGCACGGTGCTGCGTAGAGGGAGATGAGGATCCCACCTGGCCATCAACCCCAGGGAGAATGAAACCCCAAACCCACAGACTCTTCAGAAGCCATTCCCACCGCTCCACACTAGACATCTAATTCCTCACAGTCACAAAATTACAGCTTAAAAATATGCTGGTTCCACTTCCTAGGCACTCCGCACGCTGTAAAAGTTTCTCTTTAGAAATATGAACAGGTCAGCTCCGCAATGAGCACAAACCATCCTGGGCACATCAACTGGAAACGTAACTGCAGTATCGCTGATAAACTAACCTCTAATAAAAGAGTAAGGAAAATGCCCCCACTGACTCACAGAGCTCTTTCTGTCCTCCTTTACTGGCTATTTGAGCCTCACTAATTAATCATCATGTAACCCTTTTAGTTTACTGCTTTTCATCTTGGCAAATTACATCATTTTAATCCCAGAATTAACCAGAAATGTTAGCGTTGACCCTCATAATCCTTGGAGGCTGATGTTCATTAGCGCTAGCAAAGTCTGCATTAAATAAATATTTTTTTTAAGTATCACATGAAGGAGGAGGAGAAAAGTAAAAGGATCCTTTTTTTTGTGTGTGATTCTCTGGATTTTACTACAAATCAGACAGCCCTACTTGCGACTTGTGACCTTTGCCCTGAATCTAGTCAGAAACTAATATATAGCAACTCTTTAGTCACCTGGGGCACTGGAATTATGCCTGTAGGGCCCTCCTACAGCATGTGAATGTACTGTTTCCATACCAGCAGGTCATCTACTGTTTCTGAGCCAACCACAGTAGCTGTTCTTTAGCAAATTCATGTTTGACAGTTTCTCACCAGCTTTGAAGATGCTCAAACCACCACAGAGCCCACAACAGGTAAATAGGGATTACAGGCTTTTTAAACAGCCTAAAAGGTCTGCAAGAATTAAGGTTTTCCAAACAAAAAAAATTAAAAATACATTAAGCTAACAGGGCTAATGAATATTTGATTCATGTAATTAAATATGCCTTTTTTTTAATGTATGGGTAGATATAAAGAAAATATTCAATGGCTTGTCCTAAACTTTCAATTTAAGAAGTATCAGTCTTAAAAATAATTGACAGTACTAGCTGGCAAGTGATACACGTTAACCAGTTCAAAGCAGGTTTGGATTCTTTCCCATGCCCTTTGAAGTGATAAAATTGTACTACTTTGCAATGCTTATTTGTCAAATGTTTCTACTCTATTTAGAAACTCACTTAATTTCATGAAAATTCTCTCTAGAACAAGACAGCAAGAATCCAGAAATTGAAAACCATAAACCTTTCTCCATTTTTACTGAGGTAAATAAGCGAAAGAAAGAAAGAAAGAAAGAAAGAAAGAAAGAAAGAAAGAGCGAGCAAGCGAGCCCAACCCCCCCCAAGCCCCACAACTCTCTCCCCTCTCCCAAACTCAAACCCCACAAGCTGATAAGAAAGGGGCCCAGGAATGGAGAAGCAATAGACTGAATAGAATGAACAAAGTCTGCTATAGATTTTTCTCCCCCCCCGCTACTGCGGGAGGATAACAACTTACTATCTGATCCTTGATTTTACTATACTGTCCAGATATAATCTGCAATAAAAGCTATTGAACTCATGTCCAATTATTTTTACAAAAGGATAAGGACAAGATTATCAGTTCAAGAGAACCTATACCAAGACAAGGTTCTTTGACATAAATGAAAAAGGGTGTTTTACACTCCTGCATTTAAAACTGGCATACCTAAAATAAATCACCATCACGAGGGACAGAGCTGCAAGAAGTCTTACTAGGCCCAAAACCCTGGAATAACTGCCAACCAAATAACCTTAGAAATTTCTTTTTTTTTTTAAATTTATGGACTTCCCCTATCAGATTTAATAAGCTGTCCTGCCATTCACATGCAATATGCTTTGAATGTTGTTGTATGTCAAGAAGGTTTCTGAAATCTGTTAAGATTTTTAATTTAAAACTTTCAAACTATGTGCACTGAGACAAATGACCTGTCTGCTCCTTGACCTTGAAACCTCTCCTGAGGATTGCAAGCAAAGACTGAATTAATTTCAGTTTCTGACCTATTACTGTCATTTCTTAGTTTTGCATCAACCTTCTTGTTCCTCCTGAATCTTGTTAAAGCAATGACTTTTTCTATCTAGGTGTAACACATTTTAATGGCTATCAGGGTCTGTAAAATCTTCTTCCCACAAATTAGAAAACCTTTTTCCCTTGATGTGTTTCAAGCACAGAAAGCTTCTTCCCTCACTTAACTGTATTTTGTGGCCAACTTCAATGTGGAAGCCCACTCGCAAACTTTCATCAGTGCAAGAAAGAAAAGCTAAGCTAGTGCATATTTCACACTTTTTTAAGGATGTTTGTTGATCACAGCTTGAACCATTCCCTTTTGTCTTTCATTTTCATCAAAAGTAGGTCATATTATGGACCAACAGACAGGACTAATGGCCTCTTATTACAGCCCAAAACTTAAGGAGCCCATCCAGCCCCTGACCAACAATCTATTTTCTGGGAAGGTACCTCAGCCTGGCACAAAGTATCAGCACAAAATCACCCTGAAGACTGCTCCTACATGATCTGGGCTAACAGATTAAAAATTTCATGAAGCCATCAGGCAGAACCCTGGCTACAAAGTCCCCATGAACACTGAGAATATGCGTTTTTGCTTTAGCCTTTGATGTCCACAAAGACTAGTTAACTGCATGCATGATGAGAGTTTGAATCTCCCTTTCCTGTGCCGAGGATGCATCTACATGGAGAAATTTGAGAAAACTACAGTGAATGTGAAGTGTGCAGAGCATCTCCAAGTATAACAAACTCTAGTTTGAGCTAAATGGTATACTCTTGATTACATACATACAGCATCTCTGTGAACCTGGTAAAAAACTCTTACTTGGACACAGGCGTAGTTCAAGTGGTGCTTGCATAAAAGACTGCTTATGTTGCTAACACCAGCCAACTGTGAGGTCCATAACAAAAAAAACAAGCAAGCTATTCCTGCAAATGAAGTATGTCCATCAAATCTCATAGTTTCCTATCAGTATATTTAAACATACCAGGAAAGACAGTTATAACCAGCAAAAATTCCTCTCTGTGCTAGAGAGGTGCCCAGATCTGTTTTTAAAGAGTCTTGCTCCCTTTTTGAAAGACTGATGCAGAACAAATTTTCCCAGGCCATCTACTTTATGCTCCCTAAACACAGATTGTTCCAGGGATTTATGACAATTGTCTAGCTTGCTGGACATTGCTTGCTGGTTTTAAACAGGAACAATCTAAATTTGCTCTAACTGCAAGGATGAGTGAAAGCAGAAGAGGCTTGTTTCTGAGCAGCCGCTCAACAGATTTACTGCCATGACACACAAAAACAATTCCTGAATTTGTTTTGTTATTTTTGTATAGCTGATCTACTTAATTCAGAAGTTATCTGTATTACTAATAAAAAAAGCAGAAAAATCTTAACAGTCCTAGGACGAATTCAGTAGATAAGTAGGGTAGTGAGTTCAGTATACCTATCCCACCACTGATTTTGGCTTTATGATTCCCAACACCTCCTGCTACAGAAGGCCCACCAGGATACAATGTCTGAAGCACAAGCAGGGGCCTTAACCCAGTTAACCTCATCCAGTAGCTATACAGGAAAGTTAACTTCACTAAAATGTGTTGGCTGTGCTGGGAAATGGGTCACAGCTTGCACAATGAAACCTTTCAAAGGTAAGAACCTGCCTGCCCAAGCAAGAAGCCCAGCACACGACTCCGTACGTCAGC